TGGATGAATAGTAAATACACTTTAAAGCCCTTTCAGTACCACGACTATGTACAGACAATGACCATTTAGAATACCAAAGACATGGTGTGAGAGTTTTTGGGACGGGACCAGAATGAGTAGACTGTTTGTCTGTGGATGCTGTTTATGCTGCATGCAGTTCGATTGAAACCAAGACCGCCTTCAGTGCCTACTAGTACTCATGACTGTTCATTTGAGCAACATATAGAAAGTAATCATTCACACTTCAGTACATACTTCATCAGATGTCTGTGAAGGTTCTCAGTCCTCCAGGTCATGGTTATTCTCGTAGATTAATCGTAGCAACTGGACAGGTTCTTAACGAACCCCACTGTGTCAGGGGGAGCACCAACGACTCACATCACGAGGGGGAGGAGCAACAAACCCCCAACTGAAACAGAAACTCAGGTGTTAATGGCTCCTTCAGGATATCAGTATGTGGAACTCCCAACTAGTCAGTCAGAGCTGATGAAGCCTCTTGGATGAGAGGTGGAACGTCTTCAAGAACTCAAGCAGGTCCAGTTGCTACCATTAAACTACAAGAATACTTTATCAGATCTAATGTGTCCACTGCCCACCACCGACCCCTGAAATCACTTTTTAGCAAGAGGAAGATAGTGATGTGTTTGTAGTCCAAACATTACTAAGCAGTGGAGGTAGACCAAGTGGTGAAGTTGTGTTGATGCTCTCTCCACGGTGCACTAGGATGTGTGGCGTCATCTCAGTGTGTCATGTCATCTTCTATCATCTGTTCACCCCAATCATTTGGTTGTAGTGGGACAGCTTCTTTCTATGTCTGGAGAGGTTGGTTAGGTTTTTCATTTTAGAGGACATATTACTTTACAGGAAGTTGCAATACACAGACACTACACTTTACTTGCATCACTAAACCATCATATACACAAATTCATCAATAACATTTCATTATAATTTCAAGGCATTCTCGATGTTGTATCCAGAATATAGATGATGTTGAATAAACTACAGGATGGTGTGTTGTTTACCTCGCACAGTGTTGGTGGACCTGACATAATACAAGTCGTATTGTGTATTTACTACTTTTACAGTACTGCTATTTAACTAAGTATATTTTTACTAACTGTATATGCTCAGCAGAAACGTCCAGCCTCTTGGTGGGTGAGCGCACGTCCACCAGTGTCATCGGATTTTAGGATAATTCTGTAAACGTTTTCCTGGGAAATTATAGGAAATGATGACATTTTTGATTTCCACTGGTGGGATTTGTCTTATTAATCCAATGAATTTATCGCCTCTTTTTTATTGTCACTCTTTAAATATTATTTTGATGCTGTACTTTTGTGCCATAGATGCTATAAAAATAATGAATAACTCAAATCTCATGTGTACATTTGCATATAATACAGTCCTCTGGTCAGAGTTGTATTCATCAGTTCGTTATAGCCGTGCATGTCTCTGATGATGGTGGTCCTTCTAGTGTGTGAACATGACATCATCTTGTATAGAAGTCCTCACCATCACTCCCCACATTTCAACCATCTGATCCAAACTGGACGACATGCAACAGGTTGGACTGCGCACCAGTTCTAGTCCCTTCATCAAACTTCAACAGACTGTCATGGACATACTCTCAATTCAGTTCAACTCAATTATATCTGTATAGCACAGTTTACAGCATATATGTCGTCTCACAGCACTTCACATAGTCAGGTATAGACCTTATGGATTTTAAACAGAGATCCCAACAATCCAAAGCAGCCTTTGGACTCCCTCTGAGCAAGCAGTCGGCAATGGTGGGAAGGAACCAAAACCCCCTAATGAGAGGAGAAATAAACCTCCAACAGAACCAGGCTCAGGGAAGGAGGCCATCTGCCTCGACAGGTGGGGTGAGAGTGGGGATGGTAGGGGGGTGGGGATAGTAGTCAGTTCACTGGTTCATCCACAGTGTGTTTTAACTGGGATCATGAGCTTTGGGCATAGACCACTTGAAAAGTATGAGATCGTGGATGCAAGCAACCAAATCCAGTTTCCTTTGCAGTCTGGTGGTGGTCTCTCCAGTCAAAACACTGGGGAGCTCAGACACCTGGCAGAAGCTTGGAGGAGAACTCCTGCTTCTTGATGGGGAAACAGCTTGTTGACATGATTTTGGCATCTTGTTCCGATGCCTTCTTGACCGTTCTCAGTTTTCTGGGTATGCCCTACTGAGAGGGGACCCTGCAGCAGACTCAGAACACACTCCATGACTTTAATATCATATCTTGCCTGGGGATCCTCATGATCCTCCACGAGGAACTGCAGCATGTGGGCGGGAAGAAGTCTGTACAGAACACCTTGTTTAACGAGTAGGACAACCCACCGTCAGCATTTACTACCAAACTCAACATTTTTCCCTCTATGTCAATGGATGGGTCCAGAGAATGTTATGGACACTGCTGCTGTCAGAATACTAGACTCAGCCCCTTCCTAAAGGCACCTCTGAACTTTTTGTAGTTTCTTTTGCTGGGGATGGAGCCGACTAAAGACAGACAGCTGGAACTAATGCCAGATTGTTGTCAGTAAGGAAGTAGTGGAAGGCAGGAATGCATTTGTGTATTTGGTGTGTTTGGAATGCATCATTTTCAAACACACCAGTCAATGTTCTAACATCACTTTGTGGAACCACCTGTCAACACTGTTGGAGATTCTGCAGTATGCTCGTCATAGTATTTGCAAGCATGATGCAGAAGGATTCTTTCTTGTTGACAGCCAGTTTATCTGCAATAATATTATTAATACATATCGGCTAAGTGAACTTAATTTTAATTTGAGGTTATTTAAGTGAATTTTGTTGGACCATGTACATGTTTTAACCTGAATGGTTGTGCCATTGTGCATGCTCCCACACGGCTGATTGTGGTTAATTATTCATTGTGTGTCTGTTGCTTCAGATGTGTTCCATGATTTCAGTGTTTCATAGTCAGCCGGCATACGATTATGGCTTCAGACAAGACTCTGTTCCAGATTCCTGTTTAAATCTTAATACTAGTTAAAGAATTCTAATTTGTGAATTTGTGCATATTTTCATTAAAATGTTGTGAAGTTAACTTGTGCCATTGGCTCCATCGTACAATGCTGTGCAGACGATCAGAGCACGTTAGGCATCCAGATCGATAGCATCATCAGGGTTTGGTTTTATTCATCCATTACTGCAGCAGGACAACAAGCTTCAATGTACAGTAAGAGTCTTTAACTACAAGAAACACCAGCGAATCCCCACAGAGTCCTGATTTCACCATCATGGAGATGCTGTCAGTATTTATCGACGCACCATCAGGCCGTCTTGTCTTCATCCTGACTCTAAAACGCTGTGCAGAGATCCAACTATTATCATTAAACGATGACAGAAATGTTTTGTCATTTGGATTTATGGATTTTCCTGCAAAAGTTGTTGAAGTATCTCATTAAAGATTCTCCCAAAAGTAACTGCTCTTTCTCCATCACTAACTGTAAATAACAAGTATGTTTTATCTTCTTGATCCTGCAGTTATATTGACTCACTGTGTATAAGTTCTATAGTTAAAGGTGGCACAGCGGGTTGTCCACTGGTTGGAGGTTGCTGGTTCAATCCCCAGCCTCTCTGCATGTCCTTTGGGAATGAAGTGGCAGGCAGGCACCTTGCATGGAAGCTCTGCTGCTGTGAATGTGTGTGTGAATGGGTCAACGAGAACCACATGGTGAAGCATCACTGAGGTCCAAAGTGCAGACCTTTTACTATGAGGAGATTTCTTGCTTTATTGTTATTATTAAAGAAAAAGTTTGACCACCTGTTTCATCTAAACTCTGCAGAGCCACAGATATAGAAATAAGTAACAAGCACCCACTGGTTCTGTTTCTGGTTAAGCTAATGTCAATAACATTACAACAGACACATCATCCTACTGATGGAAGAGAAGCATACAGATAGTTGAACAAGGATATGTGTGTGTGAAATATATACTCCATATAAAAATAAAAGTCATAATAACTTCATTACCCCTGATCACACTTTCTTTCACAAATGCAAAACAAATACGGTCGTGACTCGATAATCCGACCCTTAACAATCCTAAACCTTGCTATCCGACAGGTTTTTAGGAAAAACCAACAGAACTCATAAAAACAGCCTTAACATAGCGACAGCCTTGGATTCTGACTCCGACATGACATTTTGTCACCAATCAGGATAACAGCATATTATCTGACTGAACAATCCCACAGATTGGCTACGTTCACACTGCAGGACTTGATGCTCAGTGAGGATTTCTTTGTGAGTTCCTTCACATTTCCAGTTAAATGCCACTTGTATGTGATCTGCTGTGTGAACTTCATACGACCCAAAAGTGTCCCGCATGCGCAGAAGAGGACACGACGACGTCACACGCAGCGAGCGTGCTCAGTGTTTACGGAAGTAAACATGGATGGTAACAGTGGAGCGTATCTGCCACTCCCCCGCCGCCACCGATGGTGGAAACAGAAGTGTGAGCGCTAACTAAACTAGCATCAGCAGCCAAGTACTGCCTGTGTGTTTTGGACACTTCCACCCTGTCAGAGCGCTGCCCCGGGGTGGAAGTGTCCCCCGACCAGGATGAATATTCAGATATTCATCATTAATTGGGCCTGAATATCCAGAGACCAGAAAGTGCTACTGGGACCAGCCCTACTAGTTATCATAACAACTATGAACAATAATGAACAACCAATGAGCCTTCCAGCATCAAGCCCTCCTTGTATCTGGACCTCCGTCTTGACAATCCGACAGCCTTGCTATCCGACATAGAAGAAGGTTTTACATTTAGTGTCGGATCATCGAGTCATGACTGCAGTTAGAAAGTGTGACTGCAGGAGCTCAGTCTAGATCTTCAACGGTTGCAACGTGTGAATGTGTCTGACTTTCTTTTAACTGAGTGCTATGAATCTGTGTGACAGCTGTTTTGTCTTGATGACAGCCTCAGAGAGTTTCTTTGCTGTTTATTTGGTCCCCACAGTCTCCGGTGCTAAAGACCCAGACAATCACCATCTCAGACATCACCAACTCCCTAAGAGGAACTGTGACCTACAAGGACATCCCCTTAGTTCACACTGAAACCAAGACCATCACATATGAGTCAGCACAGGTGAGGGGAATTCGGGGAGTTGCATACCAAAAAAAAAAAAAAATTCACAAAGCATTTACAGTCTAAAACGTCTCATTTTATGTAGATTTCAGGCTGAACCCAACCTGAAATGTTGGTCTTCCCATGACCCATCAATTACACATTAACATTTACACATTTGTGGAAATGTCATATATTGTGTCAGTAGATAAACCCACTGGAAAAACTGTAGGCGAGAATTTAATGTCAAATCTCGACATTGATGCAGGTGTAGCTTTAAGGCCCCATCATATCATGTCTATTATAGTATTACCAAACAAATGTGCAATGGATGAAACCACCACAAACTATTTGCTCCAGTTTTATCTGTTCACTTATTAAAGTGTCAAAGGCCAAGACTGCATGACAGTGTACACGGCATCTTGTTTATTTAGTGCTTAGAATAAAGGGATATAAATAAATGCAACCATTTACCATTTTAATGCAATCTTAGACATATCAATGTCTCGTTTCTGTTCTAGTACTGATAAAATACAAAAGTTAGAGAGTCATTATCAAAAATGTGTCATTCAGATGTCTTGCTTTAATTTCTTTTTGTTTTTTAAAGAATAAAGTGTTTTTTTCTATTAAACAGTTATATTGGTTAATTTGGTTAATAACAAAATAGTTCTGAGGTTCAATAGCCAGCTCTAAGTAAAATTAAAATGTTTTTAAAGGTTTTTAAATTAATAATATCATATAAAATTGACATCCACCTACAAGTGGTAAACAAGTTCTGAACTTTTTTTGCAAATTTATTAAAAATCTAAAACTAAAATCTCTCATTTCTAAGTGTTCAGACCCTTTATTCAGTCATTTCTAAAAGCCCTTTGGTAGCACTTACATCTTCCAGTCCTCTTCGGCAAGTCGGCAAGCTTTGCATTACTGGATACAGTCAGTCTGTCCCATGCCAGATCAATCAGATTGTACGGGAAGCATCTGTGAGTTTCTCTTTTCAGGTCTCTTTGTAGAAGTTTTGTGCGTTTTAAGTCTGGCCTTGGACTAGACCACTCAAGGACAGTCAGTCCTGAAGCCACTCCAGCATCGCCGTAGTCTCAGGGAACTGCTCTCTGAACAGGTTCTACTTAAGAACCTCCGTCTATTTGACTGCAATGGTCCTTAACTTAAGTATACTTTAGCATAATGCTGCACAGTAGGGATGGTGAACAGGTGACAAGCAGTGGGTTTAACAGACGTAGTGTTTAGAGTTCTGCTCAAAGAGTTTTATCAGATTGGTGATTCTTTTTCTCCCAGAGTCCTTTGAAAGCTGTTTGGTAAACTTCAATTAGACTGTTACGTGTATTATTAAAGGGTGGCTTCTGTCTAGCCACTCCATACAACTATACACTATACCATACAATGCTATACTGCCTTATGTTATGTTATGTTGTAAAAAAAAATAATAAAAAGCCTGATTAATGGAATGCTGCTAAGACGGTCTTTCTTTATGTAGCTTCTCCTGATGCAGGTTCCTCCTCCCTGACCGAGGACTTTCTTGCTCAGTTACTCAGATTGGCCAGTCTGCCAGCCCTATTTAGTGTCCTGGTGTTTTCAGATTTCTCCCGTTTCATAATCATCCAGCCCAATATGCTATTGGGAACATTTAAAATTGTGTCTTCAAAGAAAGACCTGGCCCTGGTCTTGATTCCTCTGTTTCTGTCCTGACATGCAGTGTGGATTGTGGGACCTTATTCAGAAATAGATTCAGAAAGACTGAAATTGGCGTTGGGTGCTATACGAACCGGGCAGGGGACAGGAGCAGGCACCTGGGTCTGCCTTCCTCTGGTGGCGTAGACTGGTTGTGGGGACGTGGAATGTCATCTCCCTGGTGGGGAAGGAACTGGAGCTGGTAAAGGAGGTGAAGCAGTACCGACTAGATATAGTTGGGCTCACCACCACACACAGCAATGGGTCTGGTGCCAAACTCCTGGAGAGGAGTTGGAGGAGGCAGAGCCTGCAGACTCAGGGGAAGCTTAACCTATATCCATGGTGGAGTCGCTGACGTGGTTAAGCAACTGCTCGGTGGCGAGGCACCAGGTGTGGATGAGATTCGCCTTGAGATGCTAAAGGCTCAGGATGTTGATGCACTGTCTTGGATGGCATGTCTGTTCATTGTCGCATTGGGGACGGGGCCTGTGGAGTGGCAGAGCCTGATGGTGGTTCCCCTTTGTAAAATGGGAACCAGTTATCGGAGTATCGCACTACTCAGCCACCCTAGGAAAGTGTCCTCCAGGGGAAGGCTCCACCTAACATTCAGGAGGAGCAATACAGATTCCATCCTGGTCATGAAGGAGTGGGTCGGCTGTTTACCCTGCTGGATCTGCTGAGGGGGTCATAGGAGTTTGACCAGCCAGCCCACATGGGTTTTGTGTATTTAGAAAAGGCTTACAACCATGTACTTCAAGGGGCATTGTGGCAGGTATTGCTGAAATATGGGGTACTGTGCCCATTTGGTCACTGTACAGCCAAAGTGAGAGCTGGATTTACATTCTTGTGGGTGTTGAACTCCTCCAGGGCTGGTCTTTGTTTGTGGTAATCATGGACAGGATCTCTAGGCGCAGCAGGGGTGAAGAAGGTGTCCAGAGTGTGTTGAAGGTGGTGAATATTGATTGAGTTGACCATGTGTAGAATCTGGGGTCATAGGTAGCATTAGTTTTTGGTTTAAAAATTCTCAAAGATGTCATTTTGTGTTGTATTTCTTCGTGCCAATCTGTGGAGCAATTTTTGAAATACCATGATTTGACAATGAATATATGGTCATTGATATTACAGCCCTGCGTAGATAAAACAATACAAACCCCTTATATGATGGTGTAAAGTCGGTCAAAAATGTCTGTTTCTTTCTGCTCTAATATTCCACCAACCATCAAACAATTTCTGTTCTCCTAAGAGGCTGACTTTTTTCCGGTGGTTGGCACCGATACAAGTTTTACAGATGTAGAGTATGGTGCCAGTCAGAGACAGAGGTCGAGGAGTTCGGACTTTCAGAGGAAGCTGGGCGTGGAGTCGCTGCTCCTTCGCATCAAATTATTATACATCCCTGGGAACACCTTGGGATCCCCCAGGAAGACGTGGAAAGCGTTGCCAGGGAGAGGGGCATCTTAGATGACCTCTCCCTGTCAACGCTTTCCACTTCTTCCTGGAAAGCGTTGCCAGGGAGAGCAGCATCTTCAATGGTTCATCTGCTACCTCCGCGACCTGACCCAGGATAAGCAGAAGACAATGAATGGATGGAATGGACTGAATGAATTACAGCAAACAAGATTAATACTTCTGTAAAAGAGAGATTTTAGTTTTGGGATTTCTAATAACTTTGCCCAATGGCAAAAGTGTCTGAAACATATTTGCACTTAATGATTCTGGGTTATGGGGGGTATATTCATGGGAGAACAATACAACACACAACAACTACAACACCAAATGTTCCAACAATGAACAGACCGAAGTACCTTGACTGTACAGATACTAGAAAACTCAGTAATTAAATGAGTGTATTTAAATGGATTAATAAGTTGCTGTACAAAAATTACAAAAAGTGTCTCTTCCACAGCCGGTGGACAGCCTGGCAGAGAGGGAGTCAGGAGTTCTTCTCAGTGCCCAGACCATCACCTCCGAGACCATCAGCACCACCACCACCACCCAGATCACCAAGGTCTGCTCACTTTACTAACAGCCCTACTAGCAGTACAGGATCTCTGCTTTCAGCCAGCGGTACTGACCCTTTATGACACATAACTCATGTGCCTGCTGGGGAGTGAATGTAGTGGGTGTAGCCTCATGAATCAGACGTAAATGTTTACATTGCAAGAAACACCAACAGTGTCCCAGAAGTCCTGTTATCTAGGCATCCTCTGGTTTACTAGTGTGTTTCCTGGGTCGATATTAGCTGAATGGGTATTTGCCACGAATGTATGTAAGTAAAAGATTTCAGGTAACCAACTCAGATCATATTTTACGTAGGTCGGGGTATGTCTTCATCAAAAACCTGTAACAATACATTTGATTTTCAGTCTTAGCTTTTAAGAAACATCAATGAAAGACACTCCAAAAGTACGTTGTTCAGCTTCAGTTGCCCTGATAGTGGGAGGTTAGCCTCACCAAGTCAGACCAGTAACCAGTTAGAACACGACAACAAGTCAAGTTGTGTAGACATACGGTGATACTTGTGTTGTTGTTCATGTTGTCATTGCACAGACTGTACTGCTGAATGATTTGCCTTAAGGTATGAGGCAGAAGTTTCACACAGCACATTCCAGGTGACCTATATTGTCTGAAGCTGTGATCATTTCTGATGTCCATCCAATTTCCAAATCTGCTCAGAAATTATAATAAATAGATGCCCATGACTCTAGAACTTGTCCGCGTAGTTCTTGTGTTACGATTGGCTCAGCATTGGTTTGTTTAAACGAGCAAACAGACGTAGGAAGGGATGAGAGTCGTCGTTAACTGTTCCTCCGTGGCGTCTGTCCTCTGACCAACATCAAATGATCAAATTCACAAGAAACCATCAGTACAGTAGAGCTCATCCCTGTTAGATGAGTGAATGTTTGTCACCTCGCTGTTACTGTTCAGCAGAAATGATTTTGGTTGTTTTGTACAAGGTTCTGTTTTAGGTTTCCAGTTTCTAGTACTAAGCCTAAACGTAGCTGCATCGACAGGCATTTATGGTTCTTCTCAGTTGCTTTGGTTCATTTCTCAGATCAGAATTGAAGTTCTCAAAACTACTTGTTCAATCTTCACATCATTGTGTCACTTGTGCAGCTTCTCATGTCTCTGAACAAGTTCTGAATGCTTTGGTACATCCATGCTGATGATTAATTCTCTGCTGTTTCCTACATTGTCAAATGCTCCTGTCATGTTGATCAGAGTGTATGGTAATGGGTCTCTGTTGGATAGTCCCACCCCCACAACATTTAGGCATCAGTTCATCGTCTTTACATGCACAATGGTTGAACAAGTTGTCAGAATATGTCGAGCATATTTCTTTACGTTTCCATTAGACTTTTTTTCTAAATCTGTCCTGAATTGGTAAACTGCTCCCAGGTGGATCTTGACTTTCTCTAATAAAGCAAACCAGTTTTCTGAAATAGCTCAAATGTGCATCTTATGAACCATTAATTGGCAGGTATAGAGTAAGACTGCTCTGTAACTCCTACAGCACTGCATGTACAGTTTTCCCCCAGGAGACTGTCCTATGTTCACATTTCTACTTTAGTTTTTGTGTCTGTGCTGTGCAGTGCTGTCTCTTCCTTTCTGTATCGCAGTGACATGGTCTGTCAACAAACTACGGTACAAACAGTAAATGTGAATCTGGTCCAGTCTCTTGCAGTCAATCTCTCACAGACACTGAGGTGTAACTCACAGTTTACAATAGGTGTCATCAGAACTTTATCCATAGTTTACATTGGAACCTCCCTCCAGAGCACACTGTTATACTGACACTATGACTGAACAGTGTGACTGTCTGATCCGTACACTGACACTAGAACTGGTGCACTGACATGTTCATTGACAGATATGTATCCATGGTGTCTTGCTATTCGTTTTGCAGATGTCGAGGATGATTCGAGAACAGTACCAAAGCGACTGAGAAAAACTGTAATTAACATGTTTTAACACCAAATTCTGTGAAATGAGAGCAGCAAACTTCTGCATCTTCCTTTTAATGGAAGATTTATTGTTCACCAGAATAGTGTTCAATTTGTTAATTGAAAGAATCCATAATCATTGCCCATAAATCTCCACACAGGAAAACATTCCTGCCTATATTGTGATTACCCAAAGCACAAAGGTGACACCTGCTGGGCCAGAAGGTGTCCTGCATGCACTCAACTGTAGAAATGACTCAAACACACAAAATGTCTAATTACGGAGCCATAATCAGATAATAGAATTATGAGTCTAATGACCACACATTGTTATTAACGCATGTTCCAAATACACAGGATCGGCACAGACCTGTCAGTGACATCAGTCTTTGTCTGTACTCCTTTCTCATCATAATAATCAGAGACCTGGTGCATCTGAGGTGCATTAAGATTCATTTTAACTCCATTATCAACAGCCTTTAGATTTCAGTTGTTTGGTTCTAATTTTGATTCTCTGACAGCAAAGATAAGTGTTTTTATGATTCACCGACGAGCTCCAAAATATACTGAACCTGCTTCAATCCTCTGGTTGAAAATGATTCAGATGAGCCTGTATGATCTGTCCAACGCGCTCACATTTCATGAATGTCTTAACCTTGAACTCAGACAGCATCCCCAGGTCCTCCAACCACCTCGTTCCCAGAGTCGAGATGCATAAGCTGTCCTGTAGCTATACTGTAAGGTTACATCTGGGGCACCATCTTAGATTCCTCCAAAACTTTGTACATCAGATCAAATTTTAAAGGAAATTTTATGGGAATAGTTTCATCAGGGGCTGCAGGTGGCTCGGTGGTTAGTACCGTCGCCTCACAGCTAATCCCGGTGAGGACACCCGGGATCTTTCTGCGTGGAGTCTCCATGTTCTCCCCGTGCAGCGTGGGTTCTCTCCGGGTTCTCTGGCTTCCTCCCACAGTCCAGAAACATGCTGAGGTTAATTGGTGATTCTAAATTGTCCGTAGGTGTGAGTGTGAGTGTGCTTGGTTGTCTGTCTTCAAGTGTAGCCCTGTGATAGACTGGCTACCTGTCCAGGTGAACCTGCCTTCACCCTGAGTCAGCTGGGATAGACTCCAGCCCCCCATGACCCTGGTGAGGATGAAGGTGTAGAGATGATGGATGGATGAATGGATGGATGGATGGATGGATGTCTCTAGATTGGCTTTCTTTCAACGGCTAAGCGCTGAGCAGGAAGGGTTACAGAAGCTGTGATGTTGGTCTGTTTGTGACCTGTGACGGTAACTCTGCTTTATTGAATCAGTCCAGTTCTTTGGTCCAGCTGTTAACTGCTGAGTCAGCAGAACAGCAGGTTATTTGCTGGCAGTGTCCAATTCTTGCCTTGCTATGGTTCGCTCTGATAAGAAATTTGCTGCATTTGATGACGCCTTAGAAAAACGCTGAATGACTGAGGCCTGTATAGATGCTAATTTACCAGCGGATGCAGCCAGGACAGCTTCTAGTTCAAGTTGTTCTCTTCTCCTTCTCCATAGTTTTAAAGAAAAGCATGCTTAGAGGAACAAGAGGGCAACATGAGCTTCTTCTGTTCAAAGGTTTGCACCAGACATTTGAAGAAACACCGTCTGGATTAATCCCACCATCGTCATCATTAAAGGCTTAATGTGTAGAACACAGTGTCCACCTTCTTACATCAGACATGAATTAAATATCATTTTGCTTTGGATCAGAGAAAACTTTGGATTCGTCAGGTTTCTCTTGTCAACATGCAGCGCTATGACAGGACATATGGTGTGCTATTTAAAATAAACCGAATCGTGCTGTTATTCTCTTTTTCATCAACAAGTAACCGGACATGTTTGGGTTTTTTACTAAAGACCTTTCATCATTTATTTTATCAGGTTTACACTGACAATCATTTCCCCAGATGATTTCAGGATCTCAAGCTTCTTCAAAATGTTTAAAAGAAATCTGGTTCCAGGTGTTTTCCGGACTTGTTCAAGTCAATGATTTGCTTCTTCAGACCTGTGCTGAGCCAGTCAGACTTCTTCAGTCTGATGAGGAGCCATATTTAAATCAGCTCAGAGAAGTCAACAGATGTCACTAGTAATCACTAATGAGAAGTTAAGAGGCCGTAACACAAAGAAAATTAGATTCTGTTCACGTCCAAATGTTTCTCAGAAATACAATGAAGATTAATTTTGGTTTTCTGTGGGTTTTTTCAGTTTTTGTCGTGTCTCTGTTGCAGACGGTGAAAGGAGGGATCTCTGAGACTCGCATTGAAAAGAGAATCGTCATCACCGGAGACACCGAAATCGATCACGACAAGGTGAAAAACATAAGTGATAGAAACAGAGAAGCGTTTTGTTGTTCACACTAACTCATGTCATGACGTCTCCTCCAGAGTTCTGCACTAAGCAGCTGGTTTACTGTGTGTCGGTTCATCTTGTGTATCGCCATAGATTTCTGTGATGTGTTTGTAGGCTCGCCCCGACATGCATCCTATCAAGTAATCTGATCCGCATTCAAGTCATTCTAACTGAACTCCTTAACAGTGTTCTACTTGACCCGCCTGGGTTGTTGTCCCTGGTTCTGCAGGCTTTGGCTCAGGCCATTAAAGAGGCAAAAGAACAGCACCCAGACATGTCTGTTACCAAAGTGGTTGTGCACCAGGAAACAGAGATCACCCCAGAGTAGGACGTACCGATCCTTCTGAAGGTAAGTGTCCCGTCTGAACCCACGTCCACCCACCCCTCATTGTCCACTCTGTGGTCTGACTGGAACTCTGAGACATCACATCTCCAGGCCATGACAAGGCCCAATCCAGAAAAAGTAAAGCTTTATTTAAAAAAATGAAAATAAAAAAAACTATGGAAGAACAAAAAGCAACCCTTTAGTTATATAGACAGCACACAAAACAGAGCAAGAAGCTGTTAAACACAACTTAAAACGTAAATAAAATCAGGGAACGCTCTCCCATGATGCCTCTGAGTCAACTCGCTGCACATTCATTTAAGGCAGAGTTGCTCAAATCATATCAAACATTTAATAGAAGGACTGCCATTAAGACACAAGCTGCACAACATTAGCGTGTGCATCAGGCTGCACCCCCACACCGCCCCAGACCTGAGCAGCATGAAGTATGGTAAATAACGGTGCCCATGTGGTTTTAATTGTGGCTCTGTTTATGTAATGTTGAAGACTTCAGACTGGGATCTGGTGCTGTTTAGCTGACTGGCGGGCTGGTATGTAAACACAGCGGACCTACCTCCCAGTGTGGCGGTACAGGGTGCTGGGGTGGGGGGGGCCTGTCTGCCCCGAGGCCCTCAGTATCGTCTGACAGGCAGAACAGGGAGGCATTATGAGCGAACAGAAAGTGCCAAAGTAGTAAAAACAGTAATACCAGTTGTCTTGTAACGTAGCCTGTGTAATCCTCCCCACAGGAGACCAGCGATACAGGACGGCATTTGTTGGCAGATTTAGTAGAAGTACGTGTTTGAAATAAAGTTGGTGCACCGGAGCTGTTGTAAAGAAAGCACAAGTTGGTGGAGTTTACTGCAGCAGCTGAGTACAAGCAGGAGACTCTACCTCCTCCTATGTTTAATACCCTCCTCTGTTTAAAGTGGCTTTTGGGTGTTTGCGTCATAAAACTTTAAAATCAAAGCTGACTGCAAGTGCAAATGTAGAATTAGAAAAGTGCGTCTGAAGCTAGCTGTGAAACCGACTTTTCTGTTTTAATCTTTCGGGAGGAACTTCTTGTCTGGGTGGAAGGCTGCACTCAGCCTATCAGACAGCACTGAGGAGTTAAATACCCCAACGGACCTCTGCTTTGCTGGAGTAATAAATCAGTTTCAGTGTGTTTACATCAGAGTGAAGTCTGAGAAGTCTTCCTTCAGTCCCAAACGCTGTGTCCTTTATTTGAGTTAACGTCTTCTGTAGTCAACCTCAGCAGCACTGCCGTCTTTTACATGCAGGAATGTTTCCTTGACATTAAAACTGAAGGTTTAAACTGAATATTTAATATTTGTTAGACTTAAAATGACTTGCTTGTTTTTTGGGGGGGGAAAAAAAATGTGCCTAAGAAGACTTGAAAAGGTCGTTTCTGTCAAGTGACTATAAAGTTTAGCATTAGGATGAGAGCACTGGGTTTTAATTATTCATATATTTGCAAAGAATCCAAAAACATGTTATTAGTAGTGATGCACGATATTAAGATTTCTGATATCACCGATAACCAATATCACCGATGTCAATGTTCAATTTTTGTTTACACTGAAAACTGAGTATAAATAAGCACTGTGAGAAAACTATTCAAAAGAAGCCCACGTACGTCTTTATTATGTAAAAAAAGTAAAACCTATTTAAACATATTTAACGTTCAGTCCAGTCGTGCATCCCTAGTTATTAGTTTATTGTTTTAAGTTATTGGATGTGAACTGATAATAGCAGGTACATCCATGTAAAATTTAATATAGAATTTGAAATTGAGTCCAAAGGATGAAGGAGTTTGAATATTTTCTTAAACACGACGACGTCACACGCAGCGAGCGTGCTCAGTGTTTATGGAAGTAAACATGGATGGTAACGGTGGAGCGTATCTGCCACTCCCCCGCCGCCACCGATGGTGGAAACAGAAGTGTGAGCGCTAACTAAACTAGCATCAGCAGCCAAGTACTGCCTGTGTGTTCTGGACACTTCCACCCCGTCAGAGCGCTCCCCCGGGGTGGAAGTGTCCCCCGACCAGGACGGATATTCAGATATTCATCATTAATTGGGCCTGAATATCCAGAGAGCAGAAAGTGCTACTGAGACCAGCCCTACTAGTTATTATAACAACTATGAACAATAATGAACAACTAATGAGCCTTCCAGCATCAAGCCTTCTTCGTATCTGGACCTCCGTCTTGACAATCCAACAGCCTTGCTATCCGACATAGAAGAAGATTTTACATTTAGTGTCGGGTTATTGAGTCACGGCTGTATATTCATTTTCTAATATGTATAACGAGGTTAGCCCAACACATTTTCATGTATGAAACTTTTTCTTCAATCATTTTATTTTCTATTTTCTCTTGTTTATATTCTCTGTGTTCTCTAATGTTGGGTTTTTGTGGTGTTTTCATGTGTTGTCATCTGAAATACAGCGGTGCAGCTCTACAACTCCACTAACGGTTTCTTCTTCTTCTTTTTTCTTTCTCCATTTACTGATCTGTCGACTCCATCTCAGCTGCCCCCCTCTTCCTTCTCAATGTGTCTCCATCACAGCGTTTACCTCAGCACCCCCAACCATCAAATCAAACTGCCCTGCCTTCATTATGAAGCACTAGACCACACCAGAGGGAACAAGCTTCAACGTTGAACATGAACTTTAACCTCCATGAGTGTGAAGTTTGGTCTGAAGGAGTCACCAGAAAATTCCTGAGATCCCATTCAGTATTCCCCACAATCCACCTCTTGTTCCATTTACTGCTAAAAGAGCAACTGCTGGAGTTACAAACAAAAGATCTTTTCTAAGGAGGAAAAAAAATAAAGTACAGCATTTGTGGATATATTATTCTCCAATTTGTGTGGAGATTTTAAGAAAATAACGAGGGCATTTGGTCTTTTAAACTTGAGATTACTGGTACTTTATTTTTCTACAGATTTTCTTACCATCAGAATTGGTTATCAATAACTTGGAAGTCAAGCGTTTTTTAACAGTGTTTTCAAAACTTCCTTGACAAAGGGATTGTGGGTGACTTTTCGTGGAATTTTACATGTTGGGACTCGAGGATCCCTCTCAAATTTTAGTGCGAGTTTGGTGTCATTTCTTGTACAGTAAGTATTTTATTTTCCCTCTCAATGTCAAAAAAGTATTTTTTCAATTTATGTACAAAAAGATTGATTTTATCAGAGCAGGGGGATGACTTCTTTCACCTTATTTAAAGTTCTGACTTAATCGTTTGTAAAGTGATCTTTACATCTTCTGATTGTTTTTGTTGTTGTAGTGCTCGTCACTAAAACAGAGGGCTGCACTACGAAGCTGGATCAGTGGGTTAGCGAGACAAGTTGAACCTGAAGTCAGAGGTCTCAGTGTGACGAAGGTGGCTCTCTTTTAACCTGCTAGATCTCCATGGTAACTGATGCTGTGGAGCTACATCTCCATGGTAACTGATGCTGCGGAGATAGATCTCCATGGTAACTGATGCTGTGGAGCTACATCTCCATGGTAACTCATGCCTTGGCGCTAGAGCTCCATGATGACTGATGCCGTGGAACTAGATCACCATGGTAACTGACGCTGTGGAGCTTACCTGGTCAGGAGCAGGTTACGTCAGAGTTTCGGATTTAAATCGGCTGTATGAAGCGTCCTCCGTTTACTAGATTGTTCTTCATGAGCGATGCAGATTCTCAGCTGAGGGAATGTGTTTTATCTGCAAGCATGCTGAGCTGTACGTTACTGACATCATTAATTAATGCAGTTACAGTATCGCACACTGCATGTGTTGCTCTGCCACGGAAACCCGACACGTATTCTTTTTATCTCTGTCCGTCGTAGCTCTCCATTAACACAACCTGTTGGCTGCAGCAGGTGGGACACCGTCTAGGCATTCTGTGCAGAAGAAATGCACACAGAGTTTAAAGCAGAAAACTGGAGTTAACACAGAACGTTTACAACCTCCTCCGTGATACCCGTGACCTCTGACTGGAGCTTTGGTTTTCGTTGAGCCGACTCACACAAAGGAAGCCTGGATCTGTCAGACCTGCATCGTAGTGCAGCCCTCTGCTCTCTATCAGGATAACAGAGACAGCAGTGTACTGAAATGATCTACTCTTTATTTATTCGCACCTCTGTCTTCTTTTCGTGTGTTTTGTGTTTTAGATAAACTTAGCACAGTGCGTGACTTCATGATTTGTATTGAGAGCATTCCAGTCATCAGATGAAGTTTTAGTCATTTCTGCAGAGCATGACATCGGCATCGACATCATCCCTCACATTCCTCTTCCAAACGGGCAGTGTGGACTTACCTCCGATGGCAAGGAGTTCAAGCATGGCAGACGTTACCGTCTTCTTGATGAAAATACAGATATCAAGGCAGGACGAGAGCTGCCACGTTAAACTGTCTCAAGGTGCTTGAACCTTGAAAATATGACCCACTTTGTAAAAACATGTTTCCTCAGCGGCCTGTCCTGATTTATATATATAATATTTACATTATTTGTCATCTTTGATCTCAGGAATTAGCTGCACCACTAGAAGTTCTCCGTCACAGATCGGGCTGCAGCGGTGAAATCAGTCGGCCTGTATACAACCTTATCAGGGTCAACAGCGGCCATGATGGTGGACGTTTGGACCACCAGCTTCTCTCAAAACCAGTCCTGAATAAACATGTGAACCGCATATAACAATAAATACCATACTGTAAAGTCCTGCCAGACGTCAGCGCTGGTTCTGAAACAATCTCGGCCCTTTTGCCTTCTTCAGGGTTTATTCTTATTTTTGTTTTCTCCATGTTCCTAACTTCATGGATGCATTATGAGCTTCTCCTCGTCTTCGCTCTACTCTTCTCTTTTTAAAGTCCTTCAGAGCAGTAAGAAGTAGTCATACCATGTTTTCCCACCACATTGAGCTGTAGTTCTGTAATTAGCACTGCTGAGTAGTGATGAACGCCCTGTCAGGGTTTTAAAAGGTAATTTATATTCAGTCGGATGAAGGA